GAAAGCAATAGGTAGAAAACTGGGGGGAAAAATAACTGGCAGATTCGTGTTGCTAAAAACGGGAAAGTACTGTAAAGGGTGTCCCACATCAAATTGCATCACGCAAAAAACGCTGAAGAAAATTACCCATTGGGTATTTTCTCTTAAAAATTTGGGTAGAAGTAGCTTAGAGTTGTTGTTTACATTGTATTTTTATCGCTGTTAGTTGTTCGAAAGTTGGAAAAAATGACGTCACCCGAAAAGCAACGTCGCGAATTGATTTTGCGCAAGCACCTGGAAAATCCTCAACTCTCTCATCGGAACATCGGAATCGTGCAGTCAATTGTGAGTCGTGTAAGTAAACATTACTACGAAACTCTGAGCATCTCATGGAAGGAGAAATGTGGTCAGAATGGATGTTCTATTAGTGATCAGGATCAAAAGCGTGTCGTGAAAGCGTTTAAGCGGAATCCCAATACTTCGGTCAGGGATGTGGCCAAAAAGTTGAATCTGTCCAAGCCTTTCGTTCAGAGAGCCAAATCGTGCAGAAGGCTCCAAATCGTGACGAACGGCATAGTAAGGGGAAAATACACCCAGATGCTGACGAAGCCTCATTGTATCATCATGGATGATGAGACTTACGTCAAGGCGGACTTCCGGCAGCTTCCGGGGCTACTGTTCTTCACTGCCCAACGCAAGTTTGATGTACCGCAGGCAGTAAGGCAGCAGAAACATGCATGTGGCAAACGGAGTGCGCCATTCGTGACTACCGGGACTGTAACCTCAAGCAGTGTCTATAGAAGCGTTTGTTTCCTCTGTTGAAGCAACACGAGGGCCCTCGATCTTCTGGCCGGATCTAGCTTCGTGCCACTATTCAAATGTTGTCCTGGAGTAGTACGAAGCCAACTTTCGTACCCAAGGACATGACGGACCCAAGGACCTCCCAACGCACCGGAATAAAGGCCCATCGAAAAATACTGGGCTATTATGAAACAGACACTACGGAAGCATCCCAAGGAGCTCAAATCTGAGGAAGACATGAAGAAAAAGTGGGTTTCCGTTCAGAAGAAGCTGCAGCCAAATGTTGTACAGAACCTAATGAGTGGAGTTAAGCGTACGGTTATGATATTGAAGTTGAATGAAATAAATATGCCAAAAGCTTACTAATGGGCTATATTTTATTGTCTGAAAGTTTGAAAAGGATCGGTCAACTAGGTAATTTTCTACAGCGTTTTTTCCGTGATACAATTTGATGTGGGACACCCTTTATTCTTCACAAGAATGCATCTCTATTACTAAAAAAACAAGATTTTAGTGGAGCAAAAAGCAACATAAACAATTGATCACCTCTGACTATGGTGACATGGCATCAAACATGAAAAAAAAATAATAAATATTAATTAATTGATCAAATCACCAGCATGACTGAATCCGGCAGAGCTGGGCACAATTCCGCTAATCCGCTAAGAGGTAATTAGCTGGGCTAACAGTTTCGTTAGGGACCATGCACTTATTACGTAAGATTTTTCTAGGGATTTTTCTATCCCAGCTCCCCCTAAGTAAGATTTAGATTAACATGTTCTGTATTCTTCATGATATTCTTTATGATTTCGTAAGATGTTTTTGAGATTCCCTACCACCCTGTAAACAGAACGTAAGACAATTAATTTTTAGAATCTTACACAGCAAAAAAATCTGAATTTTAATTGTGATGTAAACATTGTTGTAAACAAGTTGAAAGCAATTTTGTTTACAAATATGGGCGTTTTTTTCGAGAGTTGACCAACTGCAGTCTTAATAGGCTAGCATCTCGGTTGGACTCTCCATGCGATACACAATACTAACGGACGACTCGAGCTATGGTGCTCACTAGGTCACTGCAGCTTTTAGGCTCGTATTGTGATCAACTGTGCATTAGATTACGACCATATATATGTGATAAATCATGAAAATGTAAATGGAATACAGTAATGTCCCGATTTTGTCAGTCCCCTTTTTTGAAAATGTTTTCCAATGTTCTACAAAACCCATGCACTTTTTCAGTAATCTTCTAAAGTAAGTAAATTGCACCAAAGTATACTTTAAATATCCCTCTTAACGAATGACGAATGAGAAAAATTTAGATTTATGAAATTATTGAAAGAAAAAAGTCTGAAGCGCGGAGGGGCTGACAAAATCGGGTCATTACTGTATTTAAAATAAATAAAATCATTCTTACCTTTTTATGGTTGTTTGATTATTAATTGCTATTATTACCTGCTTAGAGTTGGCTCCTTTAAAATACTGTGTAGAATTTACCTCATTATTCATCAGCTTTATCGATTTGTGTTCCTGCGTGGTTATTGTGATCAGAGCTGGTAAATATCATGGCCGTCATGTGACGATGAGAAAACAGGTTCTCTCACTATCACGAGACGAAACTACCTATCATTAGCTTTCTTGTCATTTTTCAATGATCAAGCACTCATGAAAATTATTTTTATGCTGTTTTGACATCAACATTTCTAACTGATTTAGATGAATTCAAGCAAACAACCGTATGTAATCGGTAGAGTGAATATATCATTAAGATTTCCTCGGTACAAGTAACTTTAATAGCATTAAATGAGCTAGTAATTACGATGATCACAACACTGTCACGTTCTGTCATGACAAAAAATTCGATGAAATTTTTAAGAAAATCTCTTTCATCGTTTTCTCATCCAATGATAGTGACAGAAGTATCTCTGTAAATATCGCGTGAGATCTTTCATTGAAAATGACATTTGCCAGCCCTGATTGTGATAGAACCACGCTCAGCATATTATCCTGTAGTACGACTTGGGCATGCACCATGCAAGTAAGTCATCTCTCGTCAAAATGGGATATGGGGTGATGGTGAAGGTATATAGAAAATGAATAAAAGAACAGAGAGAAAGGTATTAGTATTGGTTACATTAACCCCCCCCCCCCCACACACACACACACACAACGAAAAAGAAACATAGATGCACAGACAAACAGAAATAACACATTTAATATTTCTCTCCACAAAACATAGTCACTAAAACATATTCGATGAACAACCTGCGAGTGTTATGTCTGTTTGTCTGTGATAGATGGGTTATTAGGAAAGTACAACTACATTATAACTATTAGTGCAATGGATGAATGGATGACCCTTATTCAGCCCTGTCGGCCCCTCAAACACTAGTCGCAGGCAGTTGTTGTTAGGACATGCGACACTGTCACTGTTACTATGTTAGAGGTATGCCCGTTAAGTTTCGAAGTGCAAAAAAAACTGTTAGAACTTTCTTATAAATTAACTTTACACTCAAAGCGAATTTAAAATTACTATTTTATTTTATACTGATATTAAAAATATGATAAAACTACAATTTACGGCTCCGTGAAATTAACTCGCATGAACCTTTCAAATCAATGAACTGGAGAAAAACTATAATTTTAAGTAATTGCAAAAAAAAAATCATGGCGACACTTGACAAATCATCATCAAGCCCCTCATCCTTGGATAGGGGTTTACAAATATGGGCTTTTGTATACAATATTCCAAACATTTCATGAAATGGCTCAGAACTTTACACGATTTATAATGTGGTCATTTTCACTGAAAGCTGAACAGTTGAACTGTTCGGTAAAATTTATGCAATTCAGTTCAATTGCTTTTCAATTGAATTAGAGATTAATGATCAAATCAAAACAAACTGTATCAATGTAATACGAGGTAATACGACATGCACTAAACTAAGGTATTTTTAAAAGCGCTTCGCAAGCAAGTTTGAGAAACGCTGATGTAACAGGTTTGTAAAACGTTATTAGTGTAAAATATATTAAAACAAAAATCTAACTTTTATTTAACAACATATAACAAAAATTACGTTTAATGAAATTTATAAATTAAATATTCATATACAACCAAAAAAAAATCTATCTCATGAAAATTTCCGCTCATGAAGCTTTTTCTCAATTTACAATCGCCAATTCGTGCACAAAAACTCAACCTTTCCGCTGTCTAGTGAGTGGAGCACTTTTGCTTCAACCACCAAAATACACCAGAACACATGGTGTTAATTGTCGCTGGAATAAAGGAACACCAAACTTTCCATTTGAGCATTTTGAAATGGTGTCCGGTTGTGTATGTAATGAACTAAGTAAATTTCATTGCGGCTTTGTTTGGTTTGCTCCTATTGTAACTGCATGCTCTTCACGCTGCTGGCAGGCTTTACAGAGAGGACTCGACTCGACACTCGACGAACAAATGCAAAAAAGCCCACTCAGCCGTTCTCTTAGTGTGAAAATGTGGAACTGGCTAAAAGTGGTCCCAGTTGGCCATCACTGCCTGTAGCTGAAAATAGAAGGACATGGCAGTATCAAGTCGTAATTTAATTTCATTCTCCATGCGAACGTATAGATACCCTACGCTGGTGGTTTTTTCGGTAATTTTTAACGTCCATACGATTTTTTATTTCCACTAAAAGCCTTTAAATTTAATTGTACTCGCTAATAGTCTCGTCGGCTGTGAAAAATGGTCAACCAAAATAATTAATGCATGTCAGAAGCGGCGTGCTAGCACGGATAGCCGACTAACGTCATGTCAGCTATTTGAAGTAATTTTAATTGGAAAAAAAGTTACCACTACCGATCATACAAAGTAGGCGGGTTGCTGGGTGACATATGGCGGTACCAAATTCCAACATCAGCTGGGCATTATACATTTTGTGAGACTTTGCAATGTGTATAGGTGACACGTGGTGAATAATTTATTAACTTTCATTCAGCTGGGAAGGACGTAAATCTCCGCGGGCATATATCATTTGGTTGGTTTTGCTTACAGAAGCCTGAAAGCGTGTTGGTTCTGGAATGGTGGCCTCCCGGTGGGATTCTGGGAAATTAAAGACCCATTTCACTGAGCATGGCTAAATTGATGACAAACTTCTACTCCACATGCTGGGAAAGGACACTAAACTAATTCGAAATTTGAATGCGGTTTTAATTAAATAAATTTGCGGTCATTTTTACAGCTCGGAATCGCACTAGGTTTTCTGCTTCCTCCAGTGTTGGTTGAAAATCATGCCGATTTAAATCTAATAGGCGATGACCTTCAGCTGATGTTCTACATCGTGGCTGGATTCACCAGCTTGCTGGTCATTCTGGTTCTAATCTGTAAGTATTTTCCTCTTATGTAATTTTATAATTTATTTATAAAACTTCTCCCTCTCTCAACAGTTTTCAAGGCGGGACCCCCAACGCCTCCTTCGGCAGCTCAGGAAGCTACAAAGACACCGAACCCACTCCAGTCGTCCCCATTCCTACATTCCATCAAGCGGCTGGTGTTGAACCGAAACTACGTCCTGCTCCTGATATCCTACGGAATGAACGTCGGTGTGTTCTATGCCATTTCAACCCTTCTGAACCAGGTTAGTGCGGTTTCATCATAAATTATTAACACATCACCAGCGTCGGATGGAAAGGGGATTATTAGGGCTTAAACTCGTGTCTAATTTTGCGCTTGATGTGCGACGCGATGCCTAAGCGGTGGATGGAGGTAAAGCGATTATTAACAAGTTTTACGAGGAAATTTTGGGACTGGGAAAATGGATTGAAATGGTGGGTGGCGTATGTGATTAGTCCAATGAAGTCGGGTTTTTCTGAAGGAGGGGGCTAATTTCATGGATTGGTTAGTCAGTGTATCGGTAAGAAATCAAAAAAAACGTTAGACACAGAGTACAATAATAATATATCTGTGTGTAAATTAGTGCTAATTGAATTGATTTTTTTTAATTTAAAGTGATCTTTTAGTTTAATCAAACAGAGTACACACTGCTGATATCATGGCATTTGGGATCAAATTTGATATTTAATAGGGTTAGATAAATAACACAATCTTAAATAATATTTTTTACAAGTGACGTAATTCATCTTTATCGTAAATCATGGAATAAATGTTGCAAAATCTAAATATACGCAACTTGATGAAAAGTGGCTATGATAGCATTGAAGTTCTCAATTCTGATTCTTATGTCATATAAGATACGTTTGCATGTGTCGGTCTCGGCACTGAGATTTATATGACTTTTTCGTAGTGTGTAGTTAAACTGGATGTCCTCTAGCATCTGCAATCTAGATACAAGTCCTATATTTAAATACAGAGCTACATGATTTTTCATTGATTTCCGAATCGTTCTTATTGAAAATTATGGCATAGTAAACCTATGATGGCTAAAATGTGATCATTTGACTAAAGTGAGTTCAGTTGTGATTATTCCGTTGATTAAAGTGAAAAATATAGCTGCTTTTCCATAAGGGGGCGTATTATACCTGTTTACTTACATCTGTTCCCTGCAAGCACACGAGAATAAACTTACTAGGCTACTTTGAAAAACAATCAATTGGATTTTATGGTTCAAGTTATACGTTTGCAGAAGAATCCTCTTTATGACACTTCCAACTTCCTAGATAGTTTAAATTGACACTCATCCCGCTGGAAATTGTTCTCTATCAGCAAAATACCATCGCCAGTTACTCAACGCTCGAGTATCGTTTGCAAGAGATTCTAAATTACATTGAATGGGAAGGCCCTTCCGGGAAAAGGATTATATCCGCTGTGATACGCGATTACTTACATTATCTACACTTCCTCTCGTCGACAGATCGTCCTCTTTCACTACCCGGGTCACGAGGTGGACGCCGGTCGCATTGGCGTCTGTATCGTATTTGCCGGCATGTTGGGGTCCGTCGCCTGCGGGATTGTGCTCGATAAGACCCATCGATTCAAGTAAGTTCCGGAGGCAATTACCGCCCACTTTCCGTTTTTTTTTCACTCTCACTGTTCCGTTATGTTGGTAGGCGAGGAAATCGATTTGGTCCAGTCAATATTTTGCTCCGATCCTATTCCGAGGCGGGTGACCCACTCGCTGCTGTTTGCACACTGCCACGACTCTTGCTATTGATTGTAATATTTTTTTTTCTATCAAACACAGATCGGATACAGTATCATTGACTCCATCTCGGTGGGATCCTTCTTGGGTCCACTTCGTCTATCGACTTGCCCTTCAAAATGTAATCATATTTATTGTTTTGCTTTCTTTTTCTTTTGTACTTGCCTACTCACAGGGAGACAACGCTGGCCGTATACATCTTTACCATGATCGGCATGTGGATTTACACTTTCACCCTGTCTGTCGGTCACATTGCTGTGGTTTACATAACGTCGTCTCTGTTGGGGTGAGTGTTTGAGATTGAGTGAAAAAATTCCCAACATCTTTTTCAATAAGGCATAGAAGGCTGGTTGAAAAAAACGCTGTCACCATTGATATTAAAAAACAACCTACTACGCTTGCTAACATGATACACCGAAAAAAAATCGTAATCCTTATCACTCATTACCCCGACCATATTTCTCCCATCCGCAGATTCTTCATGACCGGTTATCTCCCGGTGGGTTTCGAGTTCGCTGCCGAGTTAACCTACCCGGAACCGGAGGGTACTTCCTCGGGTCTGTTGAATGCTGCCGCTCAGGTGTTTGGTATAGCCTTCACCATGGTCTATTCGGAGATTTTGAACAGCAGCGGCGATGTTATAGCGAACATTACGATGGCTGTGATGCTATTCATCGGAACGGCCGTTACGGCCATCATCAAATCGGACCTGCGTCGCCAGGCGGCCCAGAATCCAAGCGGCGCTTAAAGTGACCATTGTGCTGTCATGCTTTGGTAATCCACCGGGCATGTAAATTGATTTTCTAAGACAAAGAATTTGGAGGTGGAAAGTGATGATTCGGAAATTTATATTTTACTGTTATTTATGCTCACCAGAACACGTTGTTGATGGGTAAGATATTTAAATTATTTTTTTTTTTATAGCAGATATGGATTATATAGCATTGAATATGCAACCAAGCCAAATCGAGAGAACAAACCGGGAAATTTGGTAGATTTGAGCACCACCGTTCTGTCAAATAAAAGTCATTAAAGGGGGCCAGGAATTAATTAGCCGTCAAGCATTCGTTGTCGGATGCTGCCGAATGGATTTCCTTCTGAATATCCTTCTTGGTCCGTTGACTGCCTTATGGAATGCGCTGAGGAAAGGCGTGATGCAATGGTGTGAAAGTCAATTAAAATTCGTTTAAACAGTTTCCTGCTTTCCACCAGAAGAACTAGAAAGCACGGAGGGTGTCAGGCAGTTGATGTAGGGTAACTTTTCGGTTTGAATCGTTTTGGCTGAGCGGGTGAAAAACGAGCTAAACGAATTGCGTGAATTAATGTTGTGGCGTGGAATTGCGTGAATTTCAATTTGTGGATGTTGAACTTAAAGTTTCTTTAAGGCTTCAAGATTTTCTGAAGTGTTTTGTTGGATCTTGTTGACAAACAGGTTTCGAAATACGTTCAGTAAACTATTCAAAGAAAAGTAGCCCACGAAATATTTGTCAAATCAATCGAAACGCAACGCTTGCTTAGATGTTACGTGGTTATGCTTTTCGTTGCGTTTTTTCATGAGATGAACTAGCCAAATGCTAAAAATCTCAATTGCGAAGTTATTTAAAAAAATCGTTGCGTTTATTGGATTATTTCTAGGATTATTTCCATTAAAATTTACAAGGCCTTCGCTCTGACCAAACGACGAGCCACACCAACTTTACTCGATCCTTATAGGAAATAACATTGTGGCCTTCATTGGGCACGGTTGTTCGTTTTAAAAAGCGATATGGTATGCAAATACACATTTAAGAAAGAACGTTGTGCAAAGTTAATTCAAAGTATCAGCCAGTTCTACTAAATCGATAGTAACAAGCATCGATAATCGTTGCAAATAACCGTTCAAGCAACCGGGACACAGATATATCAAATTAAGTTCCCTACTAATTTACTGTAGTATAAAAGCATGACTATACTAGTTCTCAAGTTTCAAAAGCACAGGATGTCATTGCTCAATACGTTCCGATTTGCTCTACCGTTACTCCTGCTAATACCTTCTGAAGTAAGACCAAAGGCAAGAATATACTATTTTCAGAACGAGTGGGTAAACTATCAGGAAGCATGGGAATCCTGTAAACAGAAAGGATTTCAACTGGCGTCTGCTGAATCCTTGGATGACTACAACGAGCTGGGGAGACTACTCAATCGTCCGGAGTATACGGGAGAATATTTCTGGTCAACCGATGGGAATGTACATATTGATCGAAACATTTGGTGGAAGTACATCACGTTCAACGATGAAGAGATGACTCTGATATCGGAAGACGGTCAAAAGGTCACAACACGGTGTATGTTGGTGAAAGATTTTCGAGGCCCTGGGACGTCCTGGTCGTATGATTTGTGCACCCAAGTGCACCGATACATTTGTGATAAGATTTAAGTTCGCTCCAGTATGAGTCCATTATATTTTTCAAAGTTGCTTCATCAAACATTGCCCACGAATTTCGTGATCTGATCTTGTCCTCGTTTATTATCGTTTTGTTCAATAAAAACATCTGTATGATCGAAAAAATCAAGAGTACCAACTCATTTTAACCCTTGAAAGGCGTTTGTACATCTCGATAAGGGCTAAAATACTCTGCAGATGTTAATTTTCTTTATCTCTATATTTCCACCTTGATGAGTGCATCAATGATGAGAGTGTGTAACGTTTTCATCTCAACATACCATGGAAAATTAAGTTACGATGTCTATTTATTAAGGAGATTTTTAGCCTATGGCTTGTTCATCTCCGGATGAGTCTCATTCGTGATTCTGCTATGAACCGAGTTTTGCATTATATTGAAGAGTAGAACTTCCCCCCATTCTCAGTGTGAGTGAGAAAGAGAGCGAAAACAAACTGTGTGGGTCTTCTCTCCGTGAGCGAATGGATCTTCAAGTTTGCTTTTTTTTATCATGGTAATTGACATGACGTGCGATACAAACGAGTGGATAGGGAAACAAATCGGCTACTTCGCATTCTTTGAGCATTGTCAAATATTTCACGATTTGCCATTCACATGAGCACAAAGATAAAAGCTCAAAAAAGGCTTGATATAGTTATCAGGATGGAGCTACTACTCTAAAACACTTTTATGAGTTATATGCATTGAGAAATATATCAATGAAATGTAATCATCTAGGTTTTTCTAATAACAAGATCTTATAAAAAGTACCAGAACCTTATTTTCGGTATAGAAACCTGAATCGATAATCGTTGCAAATGACCGTTCAAACAACCATGACACGAACACTATAACAACAATGTTTAAAACCGTCAAATCATCTGTGAAATTAAGTTCACTACCCGGTTGCTCGGTAGTATAAAGGCATGAACGAATTCGTTCTTTAGTTTCAAATACAAAAGATGTCACTTTTAAGAACGTTCCTATGTGCTCTGCCATTACTCCTACTAATACCCTCTAAAGTGAAGCCACAATTTCGAAAATTTTACTTTCAGAATGAGTTGGCAAACTATCAGCTTGCCTGGGAATCCTGTAATCAACAAGGACTTCAACTGGCAACTGCACTACTGACAACTGACCTTCTGCAGTTGAATATGATGCTTAATAGTCCGGAATTCAGAGGTGAATGGTATTGGGTTACCGATCAGGCTATCAATCGAACCATTTGGTGGAAGTACGTTATGTTCAACGACCAACAGATGACACTGATATCAGAGGCTGGTCAAAAAGTCACGACGGACTGTATGGTGGTGAGAGATTACAAAGAAACTGGATCTTCATGGTCTTCTGATTTATGCTCTCAGGAACATCTATACATTTGTGATGAAATAGTTTTTTGAAAAAACAATATCAAATAAATGTAATGCTTTAACTAATCATGTTTGCGTTACTCCATGCTTGAAGTTTACGATTTACGTAGTTGGATATGCTTAAAGTCAAATATCAGACTTAAAGTGGTCATTTTATACGATAGATGAGGAGATGAAAGTATAGAGTTGATAGTTCCGTTAGAGTACGGCAGTGTGAAAATTGTATATAGACAGTGGAAAGCGAGCAAAGGTCAATTTTGAGGATGGCACGAATCAGGTTGATCATCTCCTTTACCAAACTCCCCCACATGTGTCTCCTCGAGAGAGTTGGCGATGACAGGAGCACATACAGCTGCAATTTACAAACCTACCGACTAGATGCGACTTGAGTGTGAAACAATCGATAGAACTGTTTCCGCACATCGAAGGTACGTGAGCAAATCGGCGATCATCTCTTTTGCCAGTTGGGGCGGGGGGAGATACCCCTCACCAGTTAGTTTCAAAAGCACAAGATGTCATTGTTCAATTCTGTTTTGATTCTCCCTACCGTAACACCTTCTGAAGTAATGTCTCCCACCCTTGATAACGACGATAGAATGTGTTCCGCAACAAGTTAGTAAACTATCGGGAAGCGTGGGTGTTCTGCAAACAACAGGGTCGTCAACTGGCTACTGCAAAACTAGCAACTGACTTACACTAGTTGGGAAAGCTAGTCAATAAACCGGAATTCAAAGGTAAACATCATGATCATGATAAATGCTGCACAGTAAACAATGTGGAGTGTGCAACAATTGGCAACTTACCCTAAGGTGAATAAGCGTTCATACTGGTTTATACAAGTTAATGCAAAATATCATCCAGTTCCCTAGCACCAAGAACACAAGAACCTGCTTTTCTTTAGTAACGAGCATCGATAATCGTTTCAAATTACCGTTCAAACAACCATGACATAGATACTATAACAACTTTGTTTAACACCGTCAAATCATCTGTGAAATCAGGCTAACTACCCGATAAAGCAGTATAAAAGTATGGCTGTACCAGTTCTACGTTCCGACTAACTCCTGCTCATACCCTCGGAAGTGACGCCAAAGGCAAGAACATACGAAGTTCAGAACGAGTGGGTAAACTTTCCGAAAGCACGGGAAACCTATAAATAGAAAGGACTTCAATTGGCAATTGCAGATACCTTGGATGACTACAATGAGCTTCCGACACTACTCACTCGTCCGGAACATTTCTGGATGACCGGTGATATTGATCGAAAAGTTTGGTGGAAATACATTACGTTCAACGACGGAGAGATGACACTGGTTTGGGTTGGTTGGAGGCGAACCAGCCCCAGGCTGAAAGCCTCCCTAATAAAGTTAAATAATAATAATACTGGTTTCGGAGGATGGTCAAAAGGTCACAACACGGTGCATGTTGGTGAAAGACTCTCAATACTCCGGAACGTCGTGGCCGTATGATTTGTGCACCTAGGTACAGCGGCACTTTTGTGATAAGATTTAAGTTCGTTCCAGCATGAGTCCTTTACTCTATTAAAACACCTTTCCATCTAATATAATGTTTCTAATCGTGTAGGATGATTAATTTTCAAATTTAAACAAAATAGAACGTCACCTTAGTCAACTATTTTCGTTGACTAACAACCCGCAATGCTCTTTGATTAACAATTCGTCTTTATCGACAAACATCTTTTAAAAAAAAACGCCTAGAACCCAAGGGGTAGGTCACTCCGCATACCAATCTCGGGTCATCTTTTTTTTTTCAGTGTGCCGATTGTGCCGGTTAGAGCAAGCTGCGATTGTTTGCAAAATACCCATCCCGGCAACCCGTTATTTCTGACATCTTGAATGTTTTGGTTTGAAATCGCAAGGATAAATCAGTCTAGCGGAATTTCGGATTTAAATCTATAAGTAAACCGAGAAGTGAATTCCTGGTCTGAGTTCCTCTGGTATTTAGAGAATGTTCCTGAATATACAGCCAAACAGCACGTAATGTTGTGAACAACTTCAGTCACCAGCAGTGCTCCCATTTTATTTACAACAATCAAATGCCTACGAGATTGTGCCGAAGGTGTGCCGATGGATGTGTCTAAGCTGTGCCGAATCTAATTGCAGCACATTGTGCTGACTGACTTACCCCTTGCCTGGAACTACAATTCTCCTAGATCAATAGGTTTGTTGCCAAAAACGGAATATGCCAAAAAAGATGCTATTGGCAGTACTCTTTAATGCTTTGTGATCTTGATCAACAATCCACTTGGGTTAACAATTCATTTTATCATCTAAATATTTTTGTCTACCTTTACCTTAACCTTAACCTTTGCCTTGATCAACAGTCTTGCATGATAAATAATTGAACTTCATCTCCAATTTGCATTGTTCGGCGAAAGACTTTGGCTAGTAATCAACCTGGATCATGTTAACTCACGATCAAATTTTATGAGGGGCTCTGTTGGTTAATGGAACCGTTCTATATACTGAGCAAAAAATCATCATTTGAGCAAATCCACCGCCAACTGACGAATCGATCTAACTTTATTCTGTCCGAAATCTATGAAACTTTGCATAATTATTCGCTATTAGCAATTTACCAAGTTTAAACTTATATAATTCAAATATGTGTAGGTACTCAACCTGTTTAAGATCAAGTGGGGCAAACGAAGACATTACTTAAATATATATATATATATAATAAATACAAACAATTAGGCAAGGCTTCATGAAAATCGGAGAAGGTCGCTTCTGTTTGATTCGTCAGTTGGCGTTGAAATGCTCAGTGTTTTAATTTAAAATGATGTAAATTGCATCGCTAAAACTTGAATCGCCTTGTATTAACAGATTGGGGCAAGCACAACCGATACAAATGACCATGGAAAACAAGGTTGCTTGTTTGAAACCGTCTAATCATCCGTGAAATGAAGTTTATAACCCGGTAGCTGATAGTATAAAGACATGGCTATACCATACTTCAGATTCAAAAGCCAGAAATGTCACTCTTTAGTACAATCAACTTTGCACTATCGTTACTTCTGATGATACCAACTGAAGTCACGTCGAAGGCGAGAGTATACGAAATCCAGAACGAGTGGCTAAACTATCATCAAGCATGGGAATCCTGCAAACAACAAGGTCTTCAACTGGCAACGGTGCAAACCATAGCTGAAAACAACTATCTAGCTGGAATACTCAACAGTCCAGAATTCAGAGGTGAATGGTTTTGGTCTACCAATCAGGATATTGATCGAACCATCATGTGGAAATACATAACACTCAACGACGGCCAAATGACTTTGATATCAGAAGATGGTCAAAAGATCACGACGCGATGTATATTGGTGAAAGATTATCCACCATCAGGAACGAACTGGTCTGAAGATTTGTGCACCCAGGTGCATCGATACATTTGTGATAACATTTAGGTGAAGTTTAGTTTGTTTAAAAGAACTTTCAAACTAAATAATTTTATTCAATTACGTTTAATCAACCATTCCAAGTGTACAAAACAGGCGAGCATCAAATTAATTTATCCCCAGGATGCCCCCTCTCACCTTTTTTTTTTTCGCACGAAGCTGTTAATTGGTTGAGATTTTCTTTTTTGTTCCTTTCAACCCATCTATTGGGGATTTTCCTACCTAGGGATGGTCAAAATATATTTATCAAAGCTACTAAATGAACTAGGAAATATCATAAATATTGAAAAATCAACCTCCCTGAATAAAATAAATATCCCCTCCATCTAAACGATTGATTTAAGTTTAGCTGTACACCTCGCACTTTGAATCCTATTGTTCAGAATATGAATAAATAAACGAATTGCATGGTTCGCCAAAAGCACAAAAGCCGGGGGAAAATATTAAAGTTAAAAGAGGAAATTGCGATCGTTACTCATGCGAGATGGCTCTTTGTCGGTCCGTCCGTCCGTCCATACGTTGGCGTCATCACAAAGTCGATCCAAAATGAAATCAAAAGGGCTGTTGGTTAAGCGAAATGAAGTGGCCGGTTAGTGGGAAAATAATTCCCCAAAAGGGGAGTTATTATGTGCTTAGAACAGTCTGGAACGGTTGAGTTCGGGTGCTTCAGTACAGTGCAAATTAATTGGTGAAATCCTTCCGTTTCTTAAAGATTGCTGCTCTAGTAGAAGTAGGCTATGAATATGTTTTCCTTGATTTGTTTTCCGTGCCGAGCACCAATGCTACCGACGCCAAGGAGGCAGCTCCCACATCTGGACCCTACCTATCGACCCATCAACATTAGAAACGAATTGACGTCATTTGATCATTTCTCAAATGGGCTGCCCAGAAACTACGTAATCCGTTTTTAGGCATTTCAGGCCATTTCATTTTGTCTACAGTAGAAAGCGGCTTGTTTGAAATCGTTT